GGGGGGGGGAAATGTAGTGCCCAACCTGAATGTTCTCAAGTACTGAAAAGCAAATACAAATGGTGAAGTATCTATAGAAATTCAAACAAACTATTTTAGCTACTGAAACCTCAATTTTTTGTCTGAAAAGAAGAAGAATATAGTTGCAAACTGGAGGAAAGAATTCCTTAAAACCTTCTATCTGCATTTGCCTTAGAGCAGGCTTTTTGTACAATACAAGAACAATTAAGATTTTGAGGTTTCAGTGGTAGAAGTAGCATTGGAATAATAAAGAAATAATCTGAAAATATATATTAATTTACCACATTTAGGTGATATAGCCCTTTATGTATCTTACAAAATGCTATTGTTCTACATACTGCATGTAAAAAAAAGTTTACATATATAATACACGCATATAAAGGCAAAGCTAATCAGCTTGGTATTAAAAAAACCCACAAAGCAGAAGCAGACACACTGAAAGTTATGCAGTAATGAGGAGTGCTTGCTCCACGTGTGCGTTAGCATAACAGTGCTTCCAATCTTAACACATCTTTTCAGTGTCTAAGCAGAGTGCTGACTAACCAGAGTGCTCACTCCAAGTCTACCAGTGATTTCCTCAACTGCCACAAACATCTGATGTTGCTTAACTTCTGACCATCTGTTATATTTAGCACTAAATCAGAAATAAGGCAAAATAGCTTTTCTCATCAATGAGTATCTGACAACACTCATGAAATCTCCCAAAAATTAATGGAAAGCATGATAGGAGCACTAGAAATGGTACCACTGAGCTGAAGCATCTTCCTGTCTATACAAAGCTGCCTCAATGCTCAACTATTTCAGAGTAATCCAGGCTACTTAAGTAAGTACAACAATTATTCCCAGGCATCTCCTTTGTTTTAGCAAGTTTTGACTGGAAAAGCTTCAGGTTGAGCTTGCACTCAAAATTTCTGGTCTACAAACATCACAGAGAACAGTGAACAACAGTTCTGACATTGGTCAGAAGTTGGGGGTGGATATTCAGAGACATTGGGCATTCTTGTCGAGCTCTGTAAGTCCTGATGCTAACCCTTGTTTCCCAGCTGCAAGAATGATGAGTTGACTGTAACTACCATGTATTTTACAAAAAAATTCACAGTTCAGCATACAAGAAAAACAAGACAGGTTTCATTTATCCATCTTCTCTTGCATCAACTTAAAAAACAAAACCATCCAAGCCAACACCAGACCCAAACTCCATGAAATCACATTTTTTACAATAATAAATAAAACTATCTCTCTAATACAGAAAAGGTGTCTGAAAAAAACTAGTTGAGATACCTGGGGAATAAGAGACAGGTGCCTTTAAGAAGCTTTCTGGGAGATTGGCCCTAAAGGACTTGATCCAGCATATATTTTAGTTTTGTCCAGCGAAAGAGTAACTTCAGAATTATTAATTTCTCTGGGAAGGCTGGTTCAGGACTACAGCCCAGTTGATGAGTCAGTCACTGGCAGGCACTGAAATAAAAGCAGTTAAGAGTACTGGTACATAATCCTTTAGAGAAGACAAGCATGATCTACCAGGGAATTCCCCAAACATTCCTCAGAGTGTTGTGTAGAGTGCAATTGTTGGTCGCTGATGGTTAAGCTAGAAACACAGCATGACAATTTTAAGCAGTGGACACCCCAGGAGTATCCCTCCCCACCCACCAAACAATGCCAGTGAAGAACAACCACAGATACAACTGTAAAATGAATCCTAAGCTCCAGGGTTCAGAATCCCCAGGCCAACATCTCCCACTAGTTTTGGGGAATGGGATTCTAGAAGAACCTAACAACTGCGAATGGCAAGGGAGAAACAGAGAAATACAAAAATGCAAGGATTAAAAAACAGAAGGGGAGGTAGTAACCCCCTTCCAGCATATTCCCTTTAAAACAGTGTAATTAAAAACTTTAAATTCACTTAGAAATTGATTTCAAAATAGTCTGATGGTTTTAAAGACTTTCAAAAATCAAAATACTCTTCATCAAAGTTCATTAAAATACCCCTGTAGCCCCCTGAATAACTGCTACCACTTGTTTTGCATTAATATTGCTTAAATTAATATAATCATAGGCATGCAAAGTGTTAAAATTTCAGTGTGCATGTAGAATAAACCCAAGTTCTACTAGAAAGACTCCTAACATTTCAAGGCATACAGGCTTGATTCAATCTCCATCAAAACCAGTGGGATTCTTCCCATGTCCAGTGGATTTTGGACTAACCCTTAATAACAGACAACAAAACATCGTGGTCTATGGTGTAGAAACACACAGAAAGTACACCTGTGTAGACACACTAGATATGTAGTGCAACTTTTGCATTGTGCATGGTAAAACAGTTGTATTTTAGCCAACACACACGACAATCACCAACACTGCATGCTATGACAAACTAGGCTGTATAACCAAAGGCAACGCCCATTCAGAGACATTCATGTTATTACTGGTGCCTAGTGAGCAGCTTTGAACCAGGCAAAGATATATCCACTGGAGCCCAGACGTAAACTTGAAAGGCAAAAAGCTGCATTAGTACGGTGGCCTGATGGGCTTTATAGGTGCTCTGGATGACTCTGAAGGCAGGATATCATCTCTGTGACAGGCTTCCCTTCATAGCAGATTTGATACACAGCAGTGAATAGTGGAAACCTGAGGAAAAAGGGTGGGGAAAGCAAACAGTGCATAAGTTTACTCTGTAACATTTTCTTAGGGGTAGAAATAAAATGGAGTGAGGAGAGGGAGGGGAGAGACATTGAAAAAATACATTTCTTTTTATACTTACCAAGCACTAATGCTAGGCTGAAAAGCACTGGATAAATACAGAACCTACATACATCTCTAAAACGAGCCACTCTCAGAAGCCTAGCTAGCTATAATAGAGCCTACAATATTCATTATGTACAGCACAACCATTAGGTGGTCTAAGAAATGAAATAACACTCCCATTTTCCTTGACATTATCCCCGTGCTCATCTATGGCTAAAGACTGGCACATCAGTTACACATTATGTCTGAGCAACAATTCAATAATACAACTGCAGAAAAAGAGACGCAAAAAGAAATCGAAGGTCAAGTTTTGAATGAGAGTCCAAAATTAAATGTGGACTTTGAAACACTAAATTATCTTTTTTTTCCCCCCTCTTTTAAGTTGGCCACATTTCCAACAACCCTAAAATTATTCAGGCGTCTCTGATAATCTGAAGGCTTGTTACAGCAAAGATGCTTTACAGAGTTTTATAATTTTTTTCTGTCCACCCTGCACAGTGACATCCAGACAAATCCTATTTTCATACAGAGCCTGGTGAATTTTAGGGATTAATTATCTGTTCACCAGAACAAGCATACCATTTCAGCGTGGCCTTTCATATTGATAAATTTTGACAAAAATGACTATGTTATTTTGGCTGAAATAAAAAGTAAGGAGCATTGGAGATGGTTAATTTAAAGTGATTTAAAATACAGCTGGACTAGGACTTTCTCCTCAGGAAAGTGGCTTTTCTGTCATGCACAAATGCAGCCTTGAGCACAACCCCCAATCAGTACTGAGCACCATATATCCCTTTCCATACACTCTGCTAGCAGGTATTATTCTGAGGTAACCCTGGTATCACCACATAGCTCTGAACCAGGCTCCTCAACGCAAACCAGAGGTCACAAGGGAAGCCATGAGCCCTTCAGGAGCACCACTGCAGCATGGTGACTGCTGTATTCTCAGGGGCAGAAGCAAGATTTGGACTTGGCTGAATGCAATACTTTGCATTACTGGGGAGAAAAAAAATGGGGAAATGAACACGTACATGAATTTAGTTTATTGTTTCTCTGGATTTATTACAAGTGCTCAAAAATTAAATGCTACATTTTGATTTATCTGAAACATTTAAATGTCCTGCTATGAATGCATGTCCATTTCTTCTGGTTTAATTTTTTGGAGAACAAGACAAATATAGTAGCAATACCAAAAAACTGCTTCAGGTCAGAAAAACTGAAGTTTTGTTTTTCTTTCATCAGTGGAACCAAAATTAGCATACAGTCACACTGCTGCTCTTTCATATCCAATGCCATACAGTTTAGGTTGCAAAACCCTTATCAAGAAATATGCAGGGGGAAAAAAAAAGCAAATGTGCAACACGTAACATGACTTATGAGGAGTGCTGAGATCACTTGGATTGTTCAGCTTGGAGAAGAGGAGGCTGAGGGGTGACCTCATTGCAGTCTATGGCTTCTACATGAGGAGAAGAGATGGGGCAGGTACTGACCTCTTCACTCCTGTGACCAATGACAGGACTTGGGGAAATGGCAGGAAGCTGAATCAGGGGAGGTTTAGGTTAGATATCAGGAAAAGTTTTAATCCAGAGGGTGGCTGAGCAGTGGAACAAGCTCCCCAGGGATGTGGTCACAGCACCAAGCCTGCCTGAGTTCAAGAAGCATTGAGATGATGCTCTCAGGCACACTATTTGATTCTCGGGGTGCCCTACACAGGGACAGGAGTTGGACTTGATGATCCTGACAGGTCCCTTCCAACTCAGCATATTCTATGATTCTATGTCTCTCTATCATTCATTTTGTGTAATATACTGGGCTGGGGCTGAATTGCTTTTAACATAAAAACTTGAATGTGGGCACTAAAATAAAATTTGTTATACCTATGTGAGATTTTTTCACTAGAGACAGCCAGAAAACACATGAACCTTCTGAAGCAAAAGCAAATTTCACATTGCTTGAGGATACCACACCTGGCAGTTACTTCTCAGGGAAGAAGTGACACTACTGCAGACAACACCTTGATACATAAGTCTTGCTGCTGATCAGAGAACAGAGCTCTGCTGTGTACAGGTCTGCCACACTTCACATGGGGAAAGCAGAATCAAGGCTGACTGCAAGGCTCAGGGCCAGCCAACTCAAAATGCATTTTATGTCTGAGCACATTAAGAGGACTAGCTCTACGACTGCCGAAATGAAATAATAAATAATGAATTGCACTGTAAATATCAATAGACATCAACCCTGCTACACTACGGCTCTTCTCCTTTGACTTTTACAATTTTCACATAGCCTTAAGACTCTTTCTGTAGGCTAAGTGTATGAAATTTTACTAGACTCTTACCTCTTCACTTTGAAACCTATCTGTTTTATCATGTTTTGTGTTTTAAAGCAGTAGCAAGAGTTTGTGCAAAACATTTTCAAAGTTGCTTTCAAAAGTCGCTTTCAAAAGTCTTGTTGAATAAGACCTTTCACGAATAACTGAATGTTGATACACCAAAGAGAAATTAGCAACTGTTTCCGTATTTCTGAATAAAAACACAAACTCTTTTATAATGCACTGTACTTGTTGTAGGATAGAACAGGGGGAAAAAAGCAACCAATCAACCAAAAAAACCAAAACCAACCAACCAGCATCCTGTCTCATTTAGGGAATCATAAACAGCAAGGACTGAAGCCAACATTTTAATTAGATTTTTTTTCTGCAGTTAGTTGAATTACTGTACAGTGCAGAAATAGACTTAACTGCCTTATTCCCAAAGATAGTTAAAAAATAAGTAATTTAATGCAGCTGATCAACTAAAACAAGGCTTTAAAAACTTTAGGAAAAAAAATAACAGATTTTAATCTTCTCACTGGCAGTAATTTTTAAATTTTTTTGCCTCATCTACAAACAGGAACAGTTAGAGATAATACAGCCCTTAATCTCATAAGGAGACAACTGTGTGTGTGGCTTTAGGAATCATACATATTCTGACTCAGATAAAAACAAATGAAAAAGCCAGGACGACCTGCTTAATTTCATGACACAAAAACCTGACCTAGACAAGCAGATGGCAGGTTTTATTCTAGACCAAACTGGAAGCCACATTAGGAATGCAAACTGGTATCTAAGCTAGAATAAATGTGGACAGAAGCAGCCACTCTCTTCAGCTGATCAGCTATACAAATCTTTAATAACAAAGATCCTCTCCTGGGAGATAAGCAATTAATTTACTACTATGAAATAAGCTGTAGAGCCTCTTCACAAGCCTCTTTAGGAAGCTCAGATTCTATTTTAATGTATTTTATTATTTTCACTTGCTAAAACACACTCAGTTCTGCTATTCTATCATAGCAGGAGGCAGTAATACGTTCTGCAAACAGAAGGGTCTTCAGAAATCTCATGTCACAGTATTAGATCTATTTACAGCAATATTATTTTGAGGTTTTATTCACTTCTGTCTGTGATTTTAACTGGGGATTAAGCTACTCTTATTACAGTAATTTTCTTTTTGGCTGTTACCTTCATATAGATACAAAGACTACAGATGCATAAAGAGTTACAGAGATTAAAAAAGGGTATGTGGGACCTGCTTCATCTGTTCTTACTTACTTTTCCAGCATTCCCTTCTGCTTGAGGATGCGATACACTTCTGCAGAAGTCTGTGGTCCTTGCAGTTTCTGACCATTCAACATTTCTCGCTCCAATTGTTCAATAGACTGAACAACAAAGGGGAGGGGGGAGGGCAGGGAAAGCAAGAAAAGAAGAGCTATAATAAGGTTTTCATAAGCCTGACATCACCTAGATGGAAAACAAAACTTTACTTAGGGTTTTTCCTTTCTCAAAACTGTATTTGAGTGAGCGTATATAATATTCTCCTATATTCTTATTTGTAAATATTCTCCTTCTTAAATCAGTATTTCCCATCATCTTATACCTCCAGCTTCATTTTTTTTCTTTTAATCACCTCTCCTTTTTAACAGTTTTACACTCATTCTAGCCCTGCAAGATGCTCAAAAATGAGGGTAAAGAGAAGGGTACTCACTCAGTACAGCTAGCATGTCTCAGGTAACTACTGTTTCTCCAGCAAACCAGGAGGACTACTACTTGCAACAATGGATTTCATCCAGTGAATAAAGTACCTTTCCAGTTTTAACAAATGCCTCTGCTACACGTCGATTCCGGCCACCGTAACACGTTGTGATGAGGTCAGCAACTCCACAGCTCTCCAGGAAAGTGGCAGTAGACACCTGTCCTTTGCAAAAAATTCTGGCAAAGGCAATCATCTCCATTAGGCCAAGGCGAATAACGGCAGCTTTGGTATTGTCACCACAGCAAAGGCCATCACAAAACCCAGCTCCTACTGCTACTATATTCTAATGAGAAAACACAAATGGAAAATTAGTCAATTATTGCTTACAGAACCCTAGCAGACACCAAAGACAGAGTGCAGTTGTCCTTGAGAGCTGCAAACATTTCACTGTTGCAAGACTAGCTTGCTGGTTTGGGCTGTGGGGTTTTTTGGTTTGGTTTTTGGTTGGGGATTTTGAGGTCTATGGTATAATCTTAAAAAAAGAGGAAAAAACCCCGAACAACCCAAGTCTTACTTTACTAAGTATTTCCAAGGATAAAAGCATAGTTAAAGGTCTGGAACAAGTTGCTCCGCAGGCCATGGAGCTACTACTATTGACTATCTTCAAAGACAGGTTATACTACACCCAAACAAGGCTTTATCCAGATGGAGCTGTTCCTACCCTGAGGTAGGGGTAATGTAAGACTGATGTCCCACTGCTCTTTTATCCATATTTTCTTTATTATTACAGTAATACTGAATCTAAGAAATATTTATTGACTTCCATGTTGATATGCCAAGGCACCAAATTCAGCCAAGATATCAGCATGCAGCCCTATTAAATATGCAAAGTTCCTTTAACAGTAATAGTTAATCAAAGATTCCCAGAAGGTTCAGGACACAGGAACACCCTTCCGAAGCAAAAAATGTTTGGGGCTTTTTTTTTTTCCTTACACCTGGTGACAGCTTTCTACAAAAAAATGTGCTGTTTACTCATAGTCAGCTATACAGTCCCTTCTTTATGAACACAGAAATTAGTTGAGAGACATTTGAGTGAAGTAACTATAAAACCTATTTTCTGTCCTGGGAGCCAGAGACTAGCCATGGTGAGTTCGCCCCTACAAATAAAAAAACAAAATAAAACCCAGAACACTCAAAAAAATATGGCATTTTGAAAGACTGCTAAAGCAAACAAGGAAGCAATAGATGTAGTAATATATTTTAGAAAGGACTAACAGCAGCAGAGACCTCAACAGAAACCACAGGAGAAACAACATTACGGCACCTAGTGTTAATACCTGATGTTGGAAGAAAAAAAACAACCCAAAACCCAATCAAACCAAATTTAACTGTTGTTGAAGAAAAGGCAACAGTCAGAAGCTGCTAATGAAAAAAACAAGTTGATTAACAGCAGTTTTCTTCAGGTTTTTGGACTATAAGAACCAAAACTGCAGGTAGCTGCAGTGCTGTGTGACCAGTCATCACTCAGTGACTCTGAATCAAATCAGGTCAGAGGATGAGTCACTGCTTTTTGAGAAGCTACCCGACGTCTAAAGGTGACCTTAAAAATTGCAGACAGATCTCAACATCAGATCTGAAGCAGGAAAAGATGATCAGATTTTTAAAGCTGATATTTTAGATCATCTTGGCTTAAATCTTGGCTATGGTGATTTAGTCAAAGTATGTTTTAATCAAAAGCCTCTCCCAGAGCAACCTCCAGTATTTGTTCATTTGGTGGCAAAACAAGAAGAAATCAAACAGATACTTAAGAAGTTTTCAGATGGGATAACCCATTTAAGCGGAATTTATACATACGTGAAATCTGCAAGTATTTAGAGCTTAGCTATAAACAAAACAATTTTTGAACAACCCCTGGGCTTTTTCCACGTACTTCTTGAACATTCCAATAGTACAGCTTCCCTTTTCATTCACCTTTGCCTGCTTTGACTTTCCTTTCCACTTTGAAGCAGCCTATGTGATCATAATTTATAATACAATTTGGCCTATGGTATCTTGTTATCTACTTCTCCCTTTTGCAATGTTTGTCTTTGGAGCAAAAGAAATACTGTTTTAAGCAAGTCATACCAAGAGTATTACTTCTGAGGAAATGGGGTAAGGAAGAAGGAAAGTTATGAGTTAACTCTGGAACACCAAGCTTCTCCTTTGTACAATGTCCCCATTGTATGTTCTTACACATAGTTGGCAGATAATGTAGTTGGCAGATAATGTGGCAACAAGACAATGGATTAGGCTCTAAAACACACACCCACACCTAGAAGACATCCTGGCCTGGCCTGACCCTCACGCCACCACAATGAATTTACCAGGAGAAACATCTGGTTTAATTTAAATCTGTGAAGAAAATCTCTTGTGTCTAGTTCCACTGTAGAGAATTGAAAAGTACCACATGGAAAATATTACACTTTACTGAAAGATGAGCCACTCCTTTTTAAAAGCAAAATGACAACAACAAAATCTTACAAAACTTGAGACTGAGTCATCCTTCAGCCAAAAATGAAAAAAAAACACACAGCTTGGTACTGGAGATCTCCAGGTAGGCACTAAGTCAAGTTTGTTTCAAGAAGATATATAAGCAAAGCACAAATTAAAGCACAAGAGTTTAATGGCACTAGCACTATAGCCATGGTCTGAGAAGACTGCAGGAGGATCATGTATCAATCTGACAAAAACATCTTTCTGTGTCTGATATGGTTGCTCCTGAACACTGCCACCACCAAAGCCTACACCTGAAGCTGCAAGAGTTCCTGCAAATGTAGGTGGTATACATTTGTGCAAGAGGAGAGAGCCCATGTTTTTGTGAGCTCAAAGACTGACTTTATTTGCCTACACAACATGGGCATCTGAGAGCCCAATAAGCAAGGACAACTTTAGCCTACAGACAAACCAAAGGTTCAAAAATACCATCACAACAACCCCAAAATGACTGCAACACAACGTTCCTTTTGGCCCAAGGGACTCAAAGGTCGCAAAACCACTCCATCCTTAAGCAAACACATTTCCCCCATATCAGCATGAAGAGATTTTTACATTAAAATTCCTGTAAGCAAGATGCACAGGATGTTTTTATAGTGCATATAGTTTTAAGCTTCTAAAATACTTCACACTAACAGGTGAGTCTTTAGCTGGTCTGGTGTCCAGAAACTTGCATTAATCCTAATCTCAGTTATTCCAGAACAAGAACTGGATTCAGTTATTGTATCATCTGGACAGTGAAGCTACCCTTCAGAAGAGTTGATGCCAGGCAGTGCTTACAGTATGTGTCAGAACAAATGAGAAAAAGTGTCTTTTACTTGCACATCACCTGTTGCAAACATGCCAGAGGTCACAAATGCAAGGTCAATAGATGACCAAGAAATCAAGGCTAACAAAGTCTGCAGATTTTGCTGACACATTGTTCTTTTATACAGTCAGTGCCTCAGAAACGTCCAATTTACAGTCCTAGTCTGTTTACACTAAGTTTGTGGAATGCTCAGGAAAACAGCTTCAGAGGCCATTTCTGAGGCAACCATTACCTCTCCATAATGAAATGGATCATTAGAGTACTAAACAGAAGTATTAATTCACTTGAGATGTCCAGCCTTCCTGGAGACAGTGTCACAGCTCTGCAAAACTGACTACTCTCCTGCTTACACATTAACTTGGAGGAACTCCTTGTTTCACATCATGGCTGAAAGAAGTAAAATGAAGTCTCAACAAACCAAAGACAGTATCAGCAGCACTGTCACAGAATCACTGAATTTTTTGAGTTGGAAGGGACCTTAAAGATCATTGAATTCCAACTCCCCTGCATGGGCAGGGACACCTTCCACTAGAACATGCTGCTCAGAGCCTCATCCAACCTGCCCTTGAACACCTCCAGGGATTCCCCACATCATCTCTGGGCAGCCTGTTCCAGTGTCTCACCACCCTTACACTGAAGAATTTACACCTGATCTTTAATCTAAATCTCTCTTCTTTCAGCTTAAAACCATTACCCCTAGTTCTCTCACTGCAAGTCCCTGTAAAAAGACTCTCCTCAGCTTTCCTGTAGGCCCCCTTCAGGCACTGGAAGGCCACTATGAGGTCCCCTCAGAGCCTTCTCTTTTTCAGAATGAACAACCCCAACTGCCTCAGCCTGTCCTCATAGGAGAGGTGCTCCAGCCCTTGGATCATTTTCGTGGCCCTTCTCTGGACACGTTCCAACAGCTCCACATCTTCCTTGTGCTGGGGGCATCAGAGCTGGACGCAGTATTCTAGGTGAGGTCTCACCAGGGCAGAGTAGAAGGGCAGAATCACCTCTCTCGATCTGCTGGCCACAGCTCCTTTGATACAGCCAAGGACTGAGTTGGCCTTTGGGGCTGCAACTGCATTGGTGGCTCATGTCCAGCTTTTGATCCACTAGTACTCCCAGGTGCTTTTCCACAGGGCTGCTCTCAAGTGTGACCTCCCCCAGCCTGTATTCATATCTTGGGTTACCTCGGCCCAGGTGCAGGACCCTGCACTTGGCCTTGTTGAACCTCACCTGCACCCACTTCTCTAGCTTGTCCAGGTCCCTCTGGATGGCATTCTGTCCCTCTGGAATATCGACTGCACCACCCTGCTTGGTGTCATCAGCAAACCTGCTGAAGGTGCTCTCAATGCCACCATCAATATTGTTAATAAAGATATTAAACAATGCTGGGCCCAGCACTGATCCCTGAGGGACACCACTTGTCACTGTTTTCCATCTGGACTTAGAGCTGTTGACCACAACCCTCTGGATGCCACCATCTAGCCAATTCCTTATCCATGGAACAGTCCACCCATCAAACCCATATCTCTGCAATTTAGTGAGAAGGATAAGAGGTTAAGCTGTCAGAGAGGTTAAACCTGCCTAAACTGCTTGCTTGCTTCTGGCAAACTTGAAAGACCACCTCTGTAAGTAATAATGCTGGACTACATAACCTGGTAAAGAATAAATCATCATTATACTTGTTACTTCTCTACTCATAAGATTTACAGATGGACCTGAAGCAACCTGAAAGACAACCATGGCTGCTGCTCCTTCTCCTTTCTACAATAACTGTCACATCCATCTTGGTCCTTGATTGCTGTCACTGGAGGGTTTTTAACTCTCCAGATGCCTGAACGTGTACATCAGGCGGCTCGAGTGTGGCCATTTTGCCACAGCCAGAGAAGAGATTCTCACTTCTCCTTCCCTCACTGTCACCCCTGGCACCGCTGCTCTGGGTGATTCCAGTGCAATGCACACCCAAGAGTGCAGCTACCAATGTTTACTAACTGACTCTCCAGTATGTTCATACACTAGCTTAGTCTTGCCTCACCTCAGCACTGTTTGACTGTATGAGCACTGGCTGGCACGGCACTACAGACTCTGAGAACATCTCAGAAGTGATAACCTTGGGTCTGTGCTACTCTGTACTATCACATGCATCAGCATCCAGGAGTGCATCCATATGTACACATGGCTGCATACACTACTCTTGAAGCTGTGTCACAACCTTTAAGCACTTCCGAGGAAGGCTCCTTCGTTATCTGGCAAATGGCAGCTGAAATGTGTGGGTGGCCTTGGAACAGGCTGTTCATAAAGCCAGCTGGACACCTTGAAACTACTATCCAGATTTGAAGTCTGTTAATTTCTCATCTCAACCCCTAAAAAAGCTCAACAAATAAATGTGAAATGTGCTTCAGTCTACAAAGAGAATACAAAATTTCACCTCAGTATCCTTCCAGGTGAAGAACAACAATGCATTTAAAATCTTCTACACTTCAGAAGAGATACTGCCATCTTGCCCAACTTGGACCTTTACACTGGAGCTTGAGTGTCTGCTGACCAGCTGCTCAATGTCATGGACACACTCATTTCTAGTACCCTTTCACAAGATTTGCCTGGAATAAAAATTAACTGGGACAGAACTCCTGTATCAAGGAAGAATTTAAGCTGGCCAGGAAACATCAGGCTGGACAGATTTCAAAGAAAAACAAGTCAGTAAAACGTTTTTACTAATTTCATGGGTCTATATATAGGGATTTCTTTCCTGCTTACCTCCCACCTCCATGCAGTATTTTGAGCTGTGGAGCTAAATTATGAGCTCCACAATCTTGATATATTGCTATAAATACAGTAGCTCCAAACCATGTTACACTGAAGGGTATCCCATTAGCCCAGTGCACAGACCCATGACCTCCTTCTCAGGACTTCCAGTATGATAGCTCTCAAGACAAAAACTACCAAGAAAACTGGTATGCAAAAAAAATTATGTTACTATCGTTATTAAACTACTTCCCACTAAGCAGGAATCAGAACTTCTTAGCTTCAAGGTGCCATTCATTGGCGTGGTACCTTCACAAGTGTATGGTGTAGTTTACACATAACTTCAACAGAGAAAACAAGTAATACAAAGCAATTATCCAAAATATATTTTAAAAAAAAAAAGGCAGCCAAATTTTCTACTAAACCACTACCCCCTTCAAAAATGCTTATCAGATAACGTGAGCTACAGTACTATTGGCCAGGGTCACTAATGCTTTCCTTTCACAAATGGCATGTAAATTAATCTGAAAAAAATAGCAACAAGAATACGTTTTAGCTATCCTTTGCTTCCTGTCATCATCAATTTTGTTACAAAAAGAAATTCCAGACGAGTAACTCTCAAACATATCTTTTTTTCTATTCAGGTCATTTCTGCATGTGGTTATGCACACCACAGTGTATGTCCACAAAATATAAAATGAAAGAGTGCTCACATCCTGTAAGTCAGTGAAGAGGAGAATAGTTTTGGCAACAGACACAAAGGATTAATGCCACCTTCTTCTCACTTTCTTTTTGTGATACTGTGGCAAAAAGGGAACTAGATTTAAAAATATGTTGGCTAGGTAGATGAAAACACTTGCTCCGTGATTCCATGTAAGCTAAGTGAAAAGTGGAGAAAGAGATCCTGGGAAATGGTGAGACAAGGGTCTAAAGCCAACTCTAGGAACATGCCTCTCCCTAATTTCCCATATGGTTCATCTGGAAGTGTTATGTAGCAGTTTTCTATACTATATAAAGCACAATGAACTGAATTCTTTAAATGAAAATACCCTCTCTGCAGCCTCTTAATCTTACCTTCAGAGCACCACAAAGCTCAACCGTATCTGCATCATCTACTACAGTTATCCGGAAGTTTGGAGTCTGCAGGAGTTCTTTGAAGAGAAGGCCATTTTCCAAGACTTTACTGCCTGTTGAGGTAGAGAAAGAAAGGCTAAAGGCTAAAAAATGAATAATTTATTTGGGTGTTATTTTGCCTTTCCTGTGCAAGCCAAAATACTTCAAAGTAGACATAAGGCTGTGTTATCTACATCCTAAACAGTGTCTTGTTATAAGTGACTAAGGACACGTCTTTATCACACTTAGAAACTGTGCACTGGACTTTCTCATAACTAATTGTTTGCTCAGCAACAGAGTCTAAGCAGCAATTCCAGTAATCTTCTAGACACTCTCTCTTTTTTATTATTGTCTTTAAAATAACCAGTTAATTTTAAAAAGGTGAATTAAAAATACAGCAAGTGCAAGTCTACCAATTATTCTTCAGACCTGCATTCCAGAAAAATACCTACTGATAAAGGCATGTCAAGGATGTTTTATTAATCGAGCATATTGCCACTAATCAATGTTTCCAAGCATTAAGAGGTAATTCAACCATTCAGAAATATGTTCAATGCAAAAGCTGCCAGTGAGAGGTTACGAAAATAAAAATGCACAAAACTGTAAAAATCAACATTGAAAACATAACATGAACTCTGTGCCACTATCTATGACTGACTATCTCTATATGCATTTACACATGCATATAGGCCTCTCTGGACACTGAAATCCAAGACAAGGCACATCTTTGTGCTGCAAGGGTATGCAGACGTCAATATAGTACCAAAACCATGTCTAGTTTTTGGGGGAACTAATTATTTTGAGAATTTGTAAGATATCAATAGTTAACCAAAAAAAGTCAATCACACCTGCATAAAGATAAACATCTGTGACTGTAACGCCTGTAGCACAGAATATATAATAATTTATCTATATAAAGCCATGCAGATCCGAGAAAAGAAAAATCTTAAGCATAATAATAAAGCTGCTTGTTATGCAGAGGGTGATAAAGAGCATGCTTAGTATTTCACCTGCTGAGGTTACAACCCTAGTGAGACTAGGTAAAATTGCACTCCTCCCTCTCCCTCTATTCCTGGTATTGTCCTAATATTTTTTTAAGCATAAATATTCTAGGAAATTGAACATTAAAGTAATTAGAACCCAACAGTTTCTGGTAACAGCCAGCTCATGTTGAGAATGATAAAATCTGAGCTATTTGGTGTGCAATTGTGAGGGCAGGAGCATGTTTTAAACATTCTTATTACTTGGAACAGTACCTATTGTGGTTTCACAGAATTTCTCTGCTGCCACCTCATTGGCAATGTTAGCTCCCATCAGCACACTGATGTCTATTCCCATCTTCTCCCGAATAATGTCAGAGATCAGTCTGAGTCCCGCCGGGCCTTCATCTATTCCCTGCAGCCAACATTAAATGAAATTACTAAAAAGTCATTAATCAGACACAGCAGAGAAGCAAGCACATCACAATTAGTCTTGTTCATGGACAAGAACTGCAACAAGGCAGACAGAGACAAAAGATGATAGACTTGCTACCGTTGAACCTGCTATTGTTGAAACCTGTCCAAGCTGTCTTCATTTCATAGGATGTAGCACCCTGAAAACTAGAACTAACCTCTAGATGATGGTCACAGTTTTATTCCATGCTCAAAGTTCTAAAAAGTGCTGAATATTCAGCTTTGTAAGTTCAGAATCTCTCAGTTGCTCATTATCAGTGTATCCTTACTAAAACCAGTGAAGCACCACCAATCCATCAGTTGTAAATCTGGCCTACACTTGTATTTGAAATTGCACCAAAACTCACAATATGGCATCTCAATAACTTGTGAAGAGGTATTTGAACTGAAATATCAGAGAAAGATTCCCTTGTATATTATATCAACAGTAGTTTATTATTAGAAACACAGTTTAGTAATTTTGAATAGTATTACAAGTGGAACAGCTGTTCACAGATGTGTAGAAAGCTGGACAATTGTGAATAATTCACCTTCTAAGGATATTTTTAACCTGTATTTATAATGTACACCTTACAAAGCATGAAAGTAGGGACAGAAATAGGACCTCAGAAAAGATCACCTCAGAGATTAATGCCACAATGGAAAAGAGAGTCTGGTACCCTGATTTGTCTGATACCCTGTTTTCCCTGAACCATGAACTCCGAATAAGACCACCCTCTTCTCACAAAACCTTGCTAAATGCAGACTCCTTTTGAGTTTTTAGAAGAGGGGCATGGTGGACAAGCTACTGAAACGGTCTTTCCCACAGTATACCACCTTTTATATAGTACTATTTTTTTAATATTCTAGATCTGGTACTTTTGGGGATTGGTAATTGTGAATTATGGTTTAAAGGCAAAAAGGCAATGTGACCCTCTACTGCTTTCAGATACACACACACTCTTATATGTTGCCAGCATTGACATTTCAGGTAGGCAGTAATTTGCATTTCCATAGCTCAGAGGTGCTGTTCCACAAATAACATGGTCCAATCAAGAGACATGCAGAAATATATGTATAAAACCAGCCAGTTAAACTACAAACGATAGTGCTTGCATTTCTGCATTGGTTTCCAATCTCTATCACCTAATGTACAGCTCTCTGTTCTCATCTTTAACAAGCCATACAGAAAGATTCTGAAAGCAAGCACACATATATGCATGTTGTGTGAAAATTTTACCTCACAGTGTCAAAAACATGTCCACAAACTGTAAGGCTCATCCTCCTAAGCAGGCAATTAATAAACATAAAAGCATGCATGCATTGGAAACAACTCCAGAAACGTGTATATCTACACAACAATTACTCATCCCAGTGAAAGGAGATCAGACAGGCTTAGGTGCCAAACTCAGCCCTGCTACAAAACAAATGTAACTTCTGACAAAGTCAATAAGAGCTGCATTTGTTTCTTGCAGAGCTAAATTCAATACTGAATGTCAAGATGAGAGGAAAAACCAAGCACCCCCTCCCTCCTACAAACACCAAAGCTCCAACATGGGAATTTCCACTGGGTAGCAATGATCCCCAGGCAGTGCAAGTCCAATTCAGTGGTCTTATCACTTACGTTCTAACATGCCTGCCAGAGCAATCCCTGGGGCCTGTATGTAGGTAGACGAAAATGAGATTGATGCTGAGGCTGCCTGAAGAGTATGCTGAGTGACCTCCACTTACCCTCCTTCCTCTGCACATAGCTGTACTGCATTCTAAGTCGTATACAGCTCCTCCCCCCACACCCACACAACAACTTGTTAGGGTTTCATGGACAACAGTGTTCAGAACTGATGTTAAAGCAACACAGCTGCAAATGTTTCAGTGGGAACAAGGATTAACCAGGGGACAAATGTCTTTATGTCCCAAAGACTCAGCTTTATTTTCAGGCGTTAGGCTCTGCCTGAAGATTAGACTGTCAAAAAAACCAAACCAAACCCAAAAAAGCACCAAAAGTAAAAGATGACATACTGCTACCTTGCCAAGCACAGAAACAAGACACTCCACTAGTAATATTTTTCAGAGCAGAACTGCACTTTTCACTGCCAAAGTTAACACAAGCCATTTTAGCAGCATTATTGTTGAGCATAATGAGATCACTACAAGTATGACTGATGAAAACAACATGCATAAAGAAGCTGCAAAAGTGAGGAAAAAACAGGTTTTTTGCCTCTACTACTTAGTTTCATTGTTGCATTTAATTATCTGCCCTTTATTTTTAAATTAGATTTTTATTGATGCACAGTTACTCCTTTTCACAGAAGGTAACACATAGTTTGCATTCTCCTGCAAAAAATTTCTTTTGAAAGATCACCTACTGATGCAGCATTGCAACATGACAGGGAGAAGCTGCCTAGTAATTAATGCTATTTTGCATGGCAGGTGTTACTGTTTTACTTACACTACACTAAATACAGGCTTTTTTTTGTTGTTTGTTTTTTGTTTGTTTGTTTTCTTTGGGGGCTGGATTATTAATTTCTTACAGACAAGTACCTCCCTCCTTTATTTTTCTTTAAACCTAGCCTTTAATTAACTCTCCATTAAAGCATTGGTAATCAATACCCAGAGCAGTAATCCTGAGGGAATATAGATCCAGACTCTGACTTCAGATATGCTGACGTAAATGCACATTTACTCCACAAATTTTATTAGTGATAGGAATAACTCAAAGGACATGAGAACAGGAATCACATTTAGAGTATAAGAGGAGAATAAAATTTATCTTGAGCTTACAGAAGAAAGAAACACAAATGGACAACTTCAAAGCAATAAACTTTAAGGGCATATAGGACAGTCGCATGTGGTTTTATGATATGCATTCACCTCTTTTAGCATCGCTTTATTTTATCCTTCCACAATATGAAAAGCTTTTCTACAAAATGCAGCAAGTGCACTCAGGAAGCATTACTTTTCCTACATTTCAGCAATATATCAGATCAGCACAGACAAAACTATACAGGTTTAATAGGTTTAGGTAGCCAAACTGAAGAGACTATATATACGCTGAGAAAATGGCCTACTCTCAACTAAGTACCAAGCAACAACAAACCACAATCTTCTAAACCTTGTGGGAATAGCTTATTATTCTGAAAAAATGTTCCTGCCACCAAAAGTGCGAACACTCCAGTGAAACACTTTCCAGCACCTCTGTCCCCTCTATTTCCCCTCAAACTGTCTTTTTGGGCCAAGTAGAACAGACTCTTGTTGCAACTAATGTTTGACATGAACAAGAGTACTATCCTCCCAACCACATGAAATTCTCTCAGCAGTTCTTAAAATTATCAACTCACTGTGTGGTATGTGAGTTAACAATCGAAGCATTATGCTTGTGCTCTGCTCTCCATCTAATGAAGCATTTGGAAACAACAAATAAAAGATGGGAAAGCTTGGTGGTGCAAAACATATTCACTCCCTCTTTCTTTTTAAAAGTCTGGTGAGCAGCCTCATTTTCCTTTTCCTGCAAGTGCTAACCTGAAGTGAAACACTGCATAACAATCCACTAATGACTGACACAAATTCCTATCTTACATCTAGAAGAGCTTAATGGAACAATCAAGCGAACAACGCTAAGAGACTTTTCATATCAAAATATCTAGCCATCTTGTTTTAGAAAATTCCACAACACATCCTCAGTTATTAATGCATACTATGTATTATACCTTTATGAGAGTTATACCAAGAGCTTTCTTGGGTACTCGTCCTGTGATTTCATCGCAGACTTTATGAATGAACTGATGAGGAATGACAAAAACCAGCAAGTCGGCATCTTGTACAGCTTCATTAAGGTTTGGGACAGCAACCTGTGTAGTTATGGAAGAGAAAGACCACATAACTTCTTAAAATTAACACTACACACAACTGTTATCTGATAAGTTAAAGCACATTTTTCTCTACTACTGAATGCTACAAACTACTGTGCTTCATCATGGAGCATAAATATAAGCTAAACTTCCCAGAAAAGCAGAATTTTTAAGCTTTCAGACAAAAGCTATTTTATGCCCTGGAAGGGGCATTTTCACAGCCACCAGCATGGTTAGTGTAACAAAAACTGAAAGTGTTCCATAACATTCAAACATACATTTTGAGTAAGAAAATAGAAAAGAAGCTGCCTTATCTTTGACAAAATAATCTCATTTTTTGATAAAATTATTTCATACAAAAAAGTAGTTTCTTAGTTCCTTATATACTCAAATTTCTTCTCCAGGCCTCTTACACCTACTAGCTTACATTCTCTTTCTCAGACTCCATTTACCCTTTAAGAAGGTGACTTACTTTGAAGTCAATTGCCAGACTCCACTTTTCCTAACACTTGATGACCATCTTAAAATAACACTCAGGTTTAAAATGTAGCAATAAGCTTAACCTATTGATAAAAAGAATAAACTTAAATGAGCAGGTAGTGGACTGCAAAAACACCACACTTGCTGAAGGCTAGAGAAATGGGATTTCAACATTATTGTTAAAAAGAAAACTGCAATGCACAGAAATTCGTGTTTTTCCTGCCCAAAACTTCTGCTGAATTGCCAGCTGCTGCAATCTCTTCCTATAACGGTTTTGAGGAAAGAGTCACCACCTGCCCACTCACCATCACGTTTGGCCAATACAGAATAGATGTGGAGTCCCACTAGTCTGCCTTGGCAATGCTACCTCTAACACACTGATCTGACTGTACACAGGTGAAACACAACTGAGAACCAGATGAACTGTGAAGGGCTGGCAGCTTGCTTGAGAAATACTCTAGTGCTCATCCCATAATCCTTTCCAAGAGTTTCAGAGTACTTTAAATCCCTTATGAAGTGGAGGCCAATTTTTTTTTTTTTAAGGGGTATCATCAGAGCTGTTAATCTTGCCCTCATTTTCACATTCGCTTCCTTGTACCTAAGCTGAAGTAACATAAATATAATAGTGAGACCAAAGGAAAAAAAGAAAAGAGTATGTGCACTGGATTTACCTACCTGCACAACTGCATCATTTTACTTGTTCAAATCTTTGATCTCATCAGTAAAGTAACATACAGTCTGAAATATTACAAACCTTAAAGGTGTTAACAAACAAATTTTACCTTCATTCACAGCATGAGCATTATTCCCTCTGTTCCATAACTAGAATTTAGGTTCTGAGCCTTACCACGTTTTCTGGCAGCTTGTATCCAGGGAGATATTTTACATTTTCATGTTCCTTATTTATTATATCCGTCAGTTTTCTCCCATTAATATTCTCCTCAAAGACCCACATCTTCACTGTGGAAGCAAATTTTTGCAATTTTTTTACATTACCACCTATTATTTTGGCAACCGCAGAACCCCTGCAAGAAAGAAAACATAAATTTACCAAAAAAATATTTTGCTCTAGAATAAAGAGATCGTCTTCAGAAGAAACAGAAATCAAAAGGTTGTAGGGCCAATAAATACATAGATTTTTGATCTAGTAAAAAAATGAGAAAAACACCCACATCATTCACAGCTGCTGCTTTCTCTCATATATACTTGGAGCAGGTGGGGCTGAAGCATTTACTGAAAATGTCCTTAGTTATTTTGTCTGCTTCTTGGCTATCCAGTGAGAGCTTGGGTTGATGTATTTCCACAAATTAAATTATTATAACTTCAAAGCAGTGGTAAAAGTGACATACTGAACTAAAAAAATGGATCAATTTCACCTTCAAGCAGTGGATAGCTTTCCTTGCTAAGGTGAATGACCCATCAGTTGCTGTACAATACTGACAAGCATTTAAAGCCAAGAAGCTTTTATATCATAGAATCATAGAATCTTAGGGGCTGGAAGGGACCTCGAAAGATCATCTAGTCCAACCCCCCTGCCAGAGCAGGGTCACCTAGAGTACATCACACAGGAACTCATCCAGGTGGGTTTTGAATGTCTCCAGTGAAGGAGACTCCACAACCTCCCTGGGCAGCCTGTTCCAGTGCTCTGTCACTCTCACAGTAAAAAAATTTTTTCAGATATTCACCTTGAACCTCCTATGCTCCAATTTACACCCATTACCCCTTGTCCTATCACCGAGAAAAGCCTAACTCCGTCCCCCTGACACTCACCCCTTACATATTTGTAAACATTGATGAGGTCACCCCTCAGTCTCCTTTTCTCCAAGCTAAAGAGACCCAGCTCCCTCAGCCTTTCCTCATAAGGGAGATGTTCCACTCCCCTAATCATCTTCGTAGCTCTGCGCTGGACTCTTTCGAGCAGTTCCCTGTCCTTTTTGAACTGAGGGGCCCAGAACTGGACACAATACTCCAGATGTGGCCTCACCAATGCAGAATAGAGGGGGAGGAGAACCTCTCTTGACCTACTAACCACACCCTTTCTAATACACCCCAGGATGCCATTGGCCTTCTTGGCCACAAGGGCACATTGCTGGCTCATGGTCATCCTCCTGTCTACCAGGACCCCCAGGTCTCTTTCACCTACACTACTCTCCAGCAGTTCAGCCCCCAACCTGTACTGGGACATGGTGTTGTTCTTCCCCAAATGTAAAACTCTGCACTTCCCCTTGTTGAATTTCATCATGTTTCTCCCCGCCCAACTCACCAACCTATCTAAGTCTCTCTGAATGGCAGCACAGCCTTCTGGTGTGTCAGCCACTCCTCCCAGCTTAGTGTCATCAGCAAACTTGCTGAGGGTACATTCTATACCCTCATCCAGGTCGTTGATGAAGATGTTGAACAACACCGGTCCCAGCACCGACCCTTGTGGGACTCCACTAGTAACACACCTCCAACCAGATTCTACCCCATTGACTACAACTCTCTGACTCCTTCCTTTCAACCAGTTCCTAATCCACCTCACTTCCTGGTCACCAAACCCATACCTGATCAACTTATCCACAAGGATGCTGTGGGAGACGGTGTCAAATGCTTTACTGAAATCAAGATAAACCACATCTACCGCTCTACCATCATCTATCCACCTAGTAATTTCCTCATAGAAGGCTATGAGGTTAGTCAAACATGATTTACCCTTGATAAAACCATGCTGACTGCTCTTGATGACCCCCATGTCCTTGATGTGCCTGGAGATAGTCACAAGAACAAGTTGTTCCATCACCTTTCCAGGGATGGAGGTGAGGCTGACCGGTCTATAGTTACCCGGGTCCTCCTTCTTGCCCTTCTTGTAGACTGGAGTGACATTTGCTATCCTCCAGTCCTCAGGCACCTCACCTGTTGCCCATGATTTACTGAAGATGATGGAGAGTGGCCTAGCAATGACCTCCGCCAGCTCCCTCAGCACCCTTGGGTGCATTCCATCCAGACCCATCGATTTATGGACGTCCAGATTACTCAACTGATCCCTAACCCAATCCTCATCTACTATGTCAAACTCCTCCTCTATCTTGACTTCTTCTGGGGCTATATGAATCTGGGGCTCATGGGGAAATCCTGCGGGAGTATCTTGCATAAGTTGCACCCTTTATGGTTATGCTGCCAATCTCACAGAATTTAACTGTACAACAGTATCCTCTGCATTTGCAGGCAAACAATTCCATTACTGTTAGTCTGATTTTTTCCCCAAGAACAGTACAGAGTGAAACATGTAGGATGATGGCCAACTTTACTACTCAAATGTCTAAGCAACAATGAAATTAATCAGAATTACTGAAGCTGCAGAAAAGAAGAGGAAGAAACACAGCCTACCCTTCCGTTCCTAGCCTGAATGCTACACGGAAGAAAAAGATACCATTTCATAAAGCCTATTAACCTAACTTCCTTTCCTGGGACAAAAAGGCAGCTTCATAATTACTGATAACCTACTAAGCAGAGGGAAAAAAACCTAGAAAGATGTGGAAAAAAAATACAGTCACCAATCTGAGGTATGCATGGAAACTGCACACTTTATTAGGAGGTAAGAACACTTACACTTTGCAATTCTAGTTATACTCACACCGTCCCCTAAATTTATTATGGATGTTGCTTGTAATAGACTTATAGCTGGCAACTAAACCAAATAGATTCATTCTGCTTCAAGAGGTTTTAATTTGTGCTGTAACAGGCCTAAGGACACTTTCTAAATAGTGGCAGAAAAAAGTATAGTATCCTAAATAGACCTTCTTCAGCTAAACCATAAAACTGTATGACTTAAAAAGATTTTTTTTTCTCTCAGAGCACTTCACACACTTCCCCTGGGTTCAGGAGATGACACAGAAGCCACAGCTGTCAGCTATCCCTTATCAAGCTCATATTCTAGATCTGCATGCAGAGTGGTTTCTGCTGCAATTTGTAGACAACTCATCAGCTCAACCCACAGATTTCAGATCCACACAAACAGCATCAATCACAGTCAACACAACACAGCTATGTGTTCCTCAGACAGTGCTTTGCGTTCCTCCAACAAAGCACATTTAATACTGCAGATTTATATACAAAGTCTGAATCTTGGCAAATCACTGTCTTCAGTTTTGAACTTAACTACACATTCTGTGTACTCAGTATTGACAAAAAGAAATAACTGATTCAGCAACTGTCTGAGAGGAATTTTCAGCTTGCCAACATAAAGTTTGGCAACATGTACTACTTGAGCACAACATTTATTCCATTACTACTAAACACTCAAATGCTTCAGTTGTTTGTCGGGTTTTTTTGGCCTTTCAAGCTTGTATAAAAAAAGTGAGGATTTGTCTAGTCATAGTTCCTGAATTCAAGAGGATTCTCCTGACTGGCTTCTATGGTCCCTCCTTTCCTGTTATTTTTCAACAACTGCTCTAGGACTGACTTAAGCAAGGTCAAACAACTGACACTGAAACTAAGAATGTTCTACACAAGGTGAAATCCCAGCTTCCCACATCTGTTAATTCAACAAGCAAGCCTATATTATCTGCTGTGTCCCAATACACCTCAGTGTGTACTCTGAAATACTTTACTAGAATGGCTCATTTTGTATATTCCTGATGCATCACAAGGCAAAAGCATGGGAATTCTTGCCAATTTATTCTTAGCAATAACAATTCTAGCGTGAGCTAGGCTGCAAAACTTAGTGTGTGCAGGTGCTCATGAAAAACACACATGAAAATCCATAGTGAAAGTTTCCTTCATAAATCTTAACCTTGACATGTTCTAATACTATTCAAGTAATATAAGGCAATTGCCAAACAGCACTGAGCAATGAGTATCAAAGCTATGCCCAAATACAACCACATACACTTATTTAACCGTATCTGACAATCACTGAGCAAGACCACCCATGTAGTCTCCTTGCCCTCCAATGTTACAATTGGTTATCTTTACCCTGATCACTTCAATAATAAAGCACAAAACCCAGGAACTCCCGAACTTGCCCTGATATCAGTCAGTGGATGTCACAATATGCAAGTGCAAATAACATGATTACTCTAGCCCTACTACTTGTCCCTGTAAAATCACTCCAGTTAAGCTACAAGTTCTACCTCCCATTTTTCTACAGCCTATTCCTAGCCATAGCAGCCCCTCTGTCTTAGTAACTTCACTGCAAACTCTACCATTTCTGTTCAAGCTGGGCAACCAGATTAATGAAGGGGTGATTCCAGTTCCAGCAAAACAGAGAGGGATAAATTCTGTCCATGCACACCTTGTTAACCTACCCTGAAGTGCTATCAGAAGGGCAGGCTGTCGTACATGTCACAGGCAGCGTTCGCAGTGTTTTAACTGAATCTAGGCACTGTCAAATCCTGAGGCTCCAAGGCTTTCACAGTTTAAGGCATATTCCAAGGCATATCTCCAAGACAAGGTGTACTTTCTTCTCATTCAAGAAAGCTTATTTTATCACCTGTCTTAAGATACTAACACAGTCACTTATCCACCAGCTGAGCAAACCTAAGTGGGCAAGGCCAGCAAAAGCCACAGCTCCTCCTCTTCAGGGCCTTGCAAGCCATCTGTCCTGTCCCATGATCTTACATCAGGTGTCGAGTGACCCTGGCCAAGCCAACTTCATTGTTAAGGTGACCTTCCCTCCCTAGAAAACAAACCAAACAAGTCCAACTGGAAGGAGTTTCTCATCCCAGGTGACTAGTTCAACCCCTCTAAAGGGTCACTGTGGTGCCAAGATCCTTTAGTGGACTTTTTTCATCCCAGATATAATTTAAAAGGCTGTGAGAAGGCAAAGAACCATCTTACACAGAATGCCAAAACCCCATAGTCTCCAAACTGCTAAATGCCAAACCCCACTCAGTTCAACTACTTACATGCTTACAGTTTAGGTAACAGCAGTCACCCACTCCTGTAATCCAGGCTTAAAAAATATGTAGCCCCAAAATATCAATTATAAGATGTATGTAAATGTTTCAGTTTCTTTCTGATTCCTTGCTTTTGAACATTAA